AAAAATGCAGAAGTAAAATAAATCCTTAGTTACATCATGACTAGTTCAATGATTTAAGGAAGAAAAAATATATTTTTGAATCGCCTTTCCAAAGTTTGAAGGGAAGACTTGAATGACCTCTTAATTACCGCAAAGGATTATGGGAGCTGAATTTCAGAATAGCGCATGCGCGGCACCTTTTATGATATCTTTGAAACACGGATGCACTACGGTTCATCCTTGAGGTGACGGACTTTAAAACATCAACATCAACTTCAACTTCAACTTCAACTTCTTTTATTTACATTTATAACATTTATTGCCTCTGAATTTCAACCCAGAAATTAAAATAATATGCTAGGTAGACTAGAAGTATCGAAAATTTTATAATAATTAATTAAAAACCTTAAACCCAAACGTAACGTTTGTTTACCATGTAGTCGTATGATTCATAAGTGTTATCATCCGTTTAAAAAAACAATGGGAAAGGAATGTTCAACTCGAGTGAGCAGCCGTTTGTGGGGAGAGAAGTGAACCGTAGCGGACTGGAGGGAGACTATTCAAATCTCTCTCAACCGAACTATCAGTACCACGACCTAATACGATATCATAGACTAGAAGAGCATACAGTCTGGCGGAGAGTACGAATTCTTTACGTTTGGTGGGAGAAACGCTTCAGTTATGAATACAAAGCGAATCATCGTATGGACAGCACCAAGGTGTGTTTCTACGGCTTTTGAACGCTCATTGAAGAATCTAGACAACACGAAAACTTTACACGAGCCCTTTTCTCTTGCCTACTACTTCGGTGAAGAAAGAAAGAGTTCTCGTTACTTAAGTGATCCACCAAGATTAGGAAYGACCTTTCAATCCGTGGCGATGATGCTTCRAAAGGATTATGATGGGATAGATTTGGTTATATCCAAAGATATGGCATATTATGTAGAAGATTGCATGGATATCTTGCTGGAGGAAGGCTTGAGCGATATTCRGCACACATTCCTGATCAGAGACCCAAGGAAAGCTATTTATTCTCTGTACAAAGCATCAACCAAYCCCAAACTGACTGGATGGAACTACTTCGATCCTCAAGAGGCTGGGTTTGCACAACTCTTTTCCTTGTATAACTTTGTACGTGAAAATCTCGATCCTTCCCCAGTGATTATCGACGCTGGCGAGCTACTAGAGTGTCCTGAAGACATGTTGAAGAGCTTCTGTGAGTCTGTAGGRGTGAAGTACAAACCAGGAATGACAGAATGGGAGGCAGGTTTTGTAGATGAGTTTACGATTTTTAGTCCTGGTTGGCATGACACTGTATTCAAGTCGACAGGCTTTGTTCGTAAGAACACCACAAACAAACAAACCCAGAAAAAAGACGAGGAGTTACGTGACCAGAAACTCCCTGCGATCGTTAACATGACAATAGAAGAAAGTTTGCCTGTGTATGAGATAATGTATAGGAATCGTACAAAGCCACTCAAAGAAACAAGGACTGATACGAACTGATTCAAAATGCCCATTAATAGAAGTAGTGAATGAATACCCTTTGTAGATTGGAACTGGCTCCTCATGGAGATTATTTAGTATAGCAGGCATAGTGGCATCATGTTATGGGTAAATTCACAGTAGAATTACTAATTCCTCGCGTTTCAAAGAAAACTCTTCATCATGGCGGAATAGTAAACTCATTCACACCACGTCCTTTTTCTATGCATATTTAATGAAAAGAAATTTAATCATTTAAAAATGCAGAAGTAAAATAAATCCTTAGTTACATCATGACTAGTTCAATGATTTAAGGAAGAAAAWATATATTTTTGAATCGCCTTTCCAAAGTCTTCTGGCCTGCAGCGCGTTCTTCGCCTCGTTCAAGGCTTAGCCTTAGCATTATATTTTAGTATTATAAATTAGCGTTATATTTTATATTTTATTAGCATAGTACTAGTACCATATTTTAGTATTTTACTCTTAAATTATATTTATTATTGTATGGATTTTATCAGGGCTCCTCTTGATAACAGTTATTTTATGAATGAAATGARAGTTCTGCATCAGGTGGATCGTGAATCAGGGTGGATCGTGGATCAACCCTTGAAATGACGGTGCTCCGGAGCATGCCGGAGCAAGGCGTCTGTATTTCATATTCACGAGGTATTATATTTTTATTATTATGTTTAATTTGCGGGACAGTTCGATTTGTTAATTTATACTATGTCTTCAGATGCTTTTCTAGTTTTCGCTTGATCTTTTGATTTGCTTGATTGGATTCGCCTCCGTGCAACTGTGATATGCAAATGATGGCCTCAACTTCGCGCCTCAAGAAATTTGCGAGATCTATATTGTACTCTTCTAGAAAGATTTGACCCCATCATATATCGGAGAGTTTATCGAGATGATGAATTTTAAAAACTTATTTACCACCACCTGGTCTCAAGACGGTTTGTTTTCTGTCTATTTTGTTGTTGACTTGTAATTATGCAAGCATGCTTCATTGCTCATCATCAGTACTACAAACAAAGTTTCATCTTTTTGGACTTGCCCTTCTTGTTCCCTGGCAAATTGTTGATTCATCAAAAACAAACAATAAACAACTTTTATTCATAAAACGCTCAATGCATGTGAATACAAAATAAGTTTAGTTATAGCTATTTTCATTATTTAACTAAGTACGATGTTTTGATTATCAGTATATAATTGTTCAATAGAAACACCCGTCATTTGAAACAAAAGTAAGTACCTGATGCAGAACTGAAACTGGCCCAACTTGCTTATTCTTACCATAGTTAATAACTATGTTCTAAACTGACACTGAGCTTAAGATGCTCACAAGGCCGAGTGAAACCCAAATGCTGGGTTTCCTGTGGTTTTGTCTAGGCGTATCACGTGACAAGACTACTGAACATTATTGCTTGGGTGATTCAGTTCAAAATATCGTAGAAAATCGTTAATTTTTATCTCTTTATCTTCATGTCACAATAATGAAGTCATATTTTATCGTATTACTGGCACTTTCTTTGTTACGTTGCTCCAAACCAAGAGAAATCAGTGAAATGGAAAGACGCTCAACTCAAATTATTCTGGTGGGTGCTACTGGAGATTTGGCTAAAAGATATCTCTGGAAAGGGTTGTTGGATCTATATATACAACAAAGTAGCCCGGAAAAAATAATCAAGGTATATGGAGCGGCTAGAATGGATCAAGAGAAAGGAAAAAGCCACTTGAAAGGCATATTAGAATCGACTTTGAAGTGTCCTTTGACTAATAAGGACGAGCATATGAAAGACTGTGGGGAGAAAGTTGTTCAGTTGAAACAGCAAGTCAAATATTATAAGCTAAAGACTGATGATGATTATGAAACACTTTGTAAGGACCTTAATGCTGAGGTGCCTCAAGAATCTAAGGCCCTGGGACGTATWTTTTATCTCTCTGTGCCACCCTCTGCATATAGTTCCATTGCCAAGAGTATAAACAATCATTGTAGGCCCCGTGGTCTTAAAGATGTTAATGATACTTACATAAGGATAATATTAGAAAAACCATTTGGCTCTGATTTAGCATCTGCGAAAAAACTTGCACAAGATCTGCGGCAGTTTTTCAAGGAGGAAGAGATATATCGCATCGATCACTATCTCGGCAAAACAGGGGTGGCTCAAATTATGAAGTTCAGAGTTGAACACAGAAATAAATTTGGTAGTCTTTGGAACAGAGATTGTATAGATAGTGTTGAAATAGCTATGAAAGAGAAAGAAGATTGTAGAGGCAGAACTAGGTTTTATAACGAGTATGGTGTCATTCGTGATGTCATTCAAAACCATTTAACTGAAGTATTATCTCTTATTGCCATGGATACCCCAAGTGATATCAACAATATTACAGAAATTCATCAAAAAAAGATTAGGTTTTTACGAAGCGTTAAAACATTGCATAGGTATAGTGCTATTACTGGTCAATATGGAGATTATGTGAAGGATTGTGAGTTGGATCATGGTAAACCTGTTCCATCCAGTCATGAAACACCTACCTTTGCTGCTGTACTTCTTTTTCTTAACAACTCAAAATGGAATGGTGTGCCGTTTGTCTTGCTGTCAGGGAAACATCTGGAAGAAAGAACAGCATATGTGAGAATTTTTTTTAAAAAGAAATACACCATGAAATCCAGCCATGATCATTGCTTTTTAGACCAGCTGATATTTCATATACAAGGTGGAGACTTGGAGAAGCCTGCTCTAATCGTATCAAAAAGTTTACCAACAGTTTCTGAGTTTTCTGGCTGGAAACTAACGAGTTCTAAACCTGATTATTTATATGACTGCCTTGGTAAATCCTTTAATGTATTTGAACCCTTTGTATCCCATGATGCTTATAGTGCTTTAATAAAAGCAGCATACCATGGAAAACAAGATCTGTTCATCAGCACTGAAGACCTCATTGCATCATGGGAAATTTGGACGCGATTATTAGACAGCCTTAAGTCTGTAATGCCTAGAATCTATTCTAAAGACACCCTTGAAACTCTTGATTTCTCCATCAGAGGTCAAAGACTTGAGTTTGCTCAACCTTTTAAAGATGAGAGTTGTTCAAGAGGTGTACTAGATAATTATGGTAGTTGTGAGCCAGAAGAGAGGTCAAGCAATATGTACAAGAAAAGTTTATTCAGACAAAGATCTCTTGTTACTGGCTCTAGCGATGAAGTAGTTAAGACATTAGCTGAAAATCTCCTTCTACAGGCATCAACAGAAGTTATAAGGAGTGGTGTTTTTCACTTAGCTCTGTCTGGTGGATCAAGCCCACTTGCTCTGTTTAAACATTTAGCATTTTTCTGCCCAGATTTTCCTTGGCATGGCACTCATATCTGGTTAGTAGATGAACGATGTAAGACCCTCACAGATAAACATTCAAATTACAGATTTATTTATGATAATCTTCTAAGGTATGTTCCAGTACCCAGTGTTAATGTTCACCCAATGCCTGTGAAAATTAAGAATGGTTTGTGTGCAGTGAGTGACAGAGGTCACAATCATTATGAAGCTGAGATCAGAAGACTTCTAAGTGATAAGAGCTTGGACTTTGTACTCCTGGGGGCCGGACCAGATGGTCACACTGCTTCTTTGTTTCCTGGTTCAGAATCACTCTCGGCAAGTGATTGGGTGGTTATGACTGAATCAAAGCATATAGAACCCCAAGGAAAAAGAATGACGATGACTTACAACC